AACCACCCATAACTCCAGTTATAGGGATTCTGACACCCTCTTCTCACCTCCACAGGCACTAGGCATGCATGTGGTACATTGACGTTCATGCAAGCAAATCTCTCATCCACATAAAATCAACCTGTTTTTAAAAATAATAATAATAAAGAAGACAAAGATAATAAGCCAAATATGATATTAGACTTTTGAGCTTAAAACAAACAAACAAACAAAAAACATAATCAGAGAAGGCTAAAGAGATGGCCCAGCTGTTAAAAGCATTTGCTGGTCTTGAAGAAAATATGGGTTTGATTCCCAGCACCTACATGGTGGTTCACAGCCATTCATAACTCCAGTTACAGGGGCTTCCATACCATTTTCTGATTTCCATAGGCACCAAGCAGGCACATAGTGTACATACATACATTCAGGCAAAACACATATAAAATAAAACGAATAAATCTTTTAAAAAGTAAAAGAAAACCAAAAAGAGGATTAAAACAATAATTGAAACTGAGAACATGGGATGGTACTTAAAGGTAGAGTATCAAATAGGTGTGGTGGCACATGCCTTCCCCAGCTCTTGGGAGGTGGAGACAAGAGAATCAGGAGTTCACAGTCATCTTTGTCCATACACCAAATTCAAGGACAGTCTCTGTCTTTAAAAACAAAACAAATATATAGCAGAAAGTAAAGAGATCCAAAAAGAAAGGAAAGGAACACAGTGGTTTGAGATTCTTGTCTACTAAGCACTGTAGCCACTGTGTGGTTTTAAGGGGAGGAGATGGAAGGGAGGGGAAATGAGGGAAGGGGAGGAAAGGAAGGATCCAGGCATGGTGGCACACACCTTTAATCCTAGCACTGGAGAAGGCAGAGGCTGGTGGATCTCTGTGTGTTCAAGGCCAGCCTGGTCTACAAACAGTTCCAGGAGAGCCAGGGCTGTTACACAGAGAAATGCTGTATTAAAAGGAGGGGGGAGGAAAAAAAAGCTTAATGTGAATATTTAGAAAGCAAAAGAGTCCAGTTGGTCCTTAGAAAGACTATACTGAGAATCTTTTTTGATACTGAAGATGAACTCAGAGCCTTGCTCAGGCAAAGCAGGTACTCTGTCTCTATATAATACCATGTGCACCTAAACTGAATCTTAAAAGAAAATACTCCAAGCTATTAGTACAGAAAACCCTTCATGTAGAGAATACAAATGAGACCAAAAAAAAAAAAGCAAAGACGGAAGTATCCTTTAAACATTTACCTTAGATTCCAACCTTTGCCTTTTCCTCCAGGTAATCAATAATCTCTCTAAGCAGTCTCACATGTCCCCATCCTCTTAACCTTCACCTAAATACTGGCCCATACTACATTTCTATTTTCTGCTTTCACCTCTCCAGAGCTTCAGATTGTCTTATTCTTATTTCTTCCGTGGTATCTCTAAATACGTCTTAAATCAAAATTATCATCACCATGCCCACAAATCTATCTGTTTCTATGGTAATCCTTACATCAGCTTGTGGCACCAGTTTCCTCCTAGGTAAAGCCAGAAACCCAGAAGCCATCATCTAGAATCTACTGGCAAGGATGTGGAGGAAAAGCAATGCTTAAACACTGTTAGTGAGAATACAATCCTGTATGGCCAGTGTGGAAAATAGTATGTATGCTTCTCCAAATATTTTAAAAATAGAACTGCCACATGATCCATTAGTACCTTTTACTACTGGGTACAGATTGAGAAGAACTGAAATCAGTATCCTCAAGAGATACCTTCATTCCTATGTTCACTGTGGCATTCTTCATTGTATCTAAGATGTAGAGTCACCAGAGTGTCCATCAGTGAATAAAAGGATAAAGAAAATATGCTGCTTATGTACATACTGGACTATTATTTAGATCTTTTAAGTTAAATCATTTTATTAGAGAAAAGACAGCCTGAACCTTCCATTCTTGTGGGTGAGGTGGCCTCAGAACCCAGATCCAGTGTAATCTGAGCCATTAGAGCAGTAACATGCACTCATGGACAATAAGAGTTTATTTAGCTTTTATGAAGAACAAAATCCTGTCATTTGCAATAACATAAATGAACCTCAAGGATATTACATGAAGTGAATTAAGCCAGGCACAGAAAGACAAACATAAGAAAAATACTGCATGTTCCCAATTAGATGTGGAATCTAAACATGTTGAATTCATAGAAGTAGAGTAAAATACATAAACTGGGATAGGTACATTGAGGAAGAGTTGGTCAAACAACAAAGAATAATATGTTGAAGCGATCTACTGTACATCTTGCTTACTTGCTCTTAATTGTATATTATACTATTGAAATTATCTAACTGGGCGTGGTAGTGCACACCTATAGTCCCAGTGGAGGGGAGGCAGATGCAGGCGAATCTCTTCAAGTTTAAGGCCAACCTGTTCTACAAGGTGGGTCCAGGATAGCCAAGACTACACAGAAAAACCCTGATCAAAAAAAAAAAAAAAAAATCAAACCAAAAGAAAGGAAAAGAAATTTCCATAACCAGATTTTAAAATAAATATGTGAGATAATGCACATGTTAATGGCCTGATTTAGCCTTTCACAACGAGACTCACCACAAATATAATCTTCACTTGTCAATTAAAAAATATAACCAGCTCAGCAGGTGAAGGCGCTTGTGCTACACCTGGTGACCTGAGTTCAATGTCCAGGAACCACATGATAAAAAGAAAGAACCAACTCCCACAAGCTGTCTGTCCTCTAACCCTCCACACTTGGGTGCATGCACTGGCGCGAGTGTACACACACACACGTACACACACACACACACACACACAGACACACACACACACACACACGGACAATCTAAAAAAAAAGAAGATAAAATAAAAAAAAATAATAGCTATGTTTCACTAAAACAAAATATACTTGAAGCCCTACAACACTCTTCCCAACAGCCACAGCATGGACACTCAGGTAAGAGAGTGTTGCCAAATATTTCCCTTGAGAAGAGATGAAACTACAGTCTTAAGGTCTCAACGATAAAGATATAATTCTACCAAAGTTCACCTGGGGAAAACAATGAGTTTATCAAACTTACTTACAGAACAATGGGTGAGGGATTGTACACAAGAGCATATTTAACCTTAAAGTAACCACTCTGGAAGGTCTGTACCCAACAGGAATTTTGGCTTCCCCATGGCTGGGTAAATGAAACATACTCCTCTTATCCTTCCTCACCTATATACTTAAACCCAGATATTCTCAACCTGTGAGTATGGTTAGGGTTCGTCACACCATGAGGAACTGCATTAAAGGGTCACAGCATTAGGAAGGTTAAGAGGCATTGTGTTAGTCCCTCTCAGAGACCCTGAGGCCAGATGCAATTGGGCAGAATTGCTTACAGCTGATGGGGAGATTCAATGAATCTCCCTGACCCCTCCTTCCAAGAGTGACCATCTAGGCAACAAGCTTACCTGTGATGATCTTTGGTGAGCAAGCCCAGTTGAACTCCTGAAGGTGGCTGCAGTTTGGCTCAGTCTAGTCCTGTACAACACAAGCAGAGAAATCCCCAACAGTCCTAGCCCTTACTTTCACATCTTCCCCTTTGTCATTCATTGCCTATAACTTTACAGTGCTTTCAATTTCACCTAAAACCAGAAAATCAATCAGCAATACTGACCTACCCTTTTATTAGAGTAGGACAGATTGATGACAACTGTAGTGGGTTGAAAACTGAATAACTAAAGATGGAGAAGGTAAACTTAGATATCCAATATTCATAGGTTTTGTTGGTTGGTTTGGTTCAGCTCCATTTTTTTATTTGTTTGTTTGTTTGTTTGTTTTGGATTTGTTTATTGCTTTTTAAGACAAAGTCCAGGCTACCTTAAAACTCACTATGTAGCCCAGGCTGGCCTTAAAATTGGGGCAATCTTCCTGCCACAGTCTCCTGAGTGCTGGAATTATAGACATGTACCATCATAATTGGCTATTAATGTTTGATAAATGTATTTTTTAATGAAAGTGGAAAAATGAATGAAATCATATTTTAAGAAAATGCAGATTTTTAGAACTGAAGAGATGGTTCAGTAGTTAAGAGCATCGGCTGCTCTTTCATGTTCTGTTCCTAGTATCCATATAGCAGCTCACAACCATCTGTAGCTCCAGTTTCAAGGGACCCAATGCCCTCTTCTAGATCCTGTGGACATCAGGCACACACATGGTGTATGTGTCCACACATGGACATACATACAGGAAAAACATGAAAACACACGAAATAAAATTAAAATAAAAACTTAAAAAAGAAAAGGCAGGTTTTCTGTTTCTGCACTGTGGGCTTGAGTATATTTGCATATATGTAGATATAGGGAAAAGCAACAATAAAGAGGAAGAAAGTAAAAATAAAATAGAAGGGTCTAGGGAGATGTCTCAGGATAAAGCACTTGTCACATAAGCATGAAGACCACAGTTCAAATACCCAGAGTCTGTGTAAAGCCAAACATGGTAGCACACATGTGTAATCCCAGCACATCTACAATGATATGAGAGAAGGAGACAAGAGAATTCCTTGAAATTCATGGGGTACATATGCAGTGGTTAAAAACACAACAAATTAAAAAATTAAAAAAACAGGAGACCATCTCCAACAAGGTGGAAGGTGAGGACCAATACCCAAGGTTGTCCTCCGGCCTCGATACATATGTGTGGCACATGTGCTGACACTCACACATGGCAAAGTATGGTGACACATGCTTTTAACCCTATTACTAAGGAAGTAGAAGCAAGTTTACAAGTTTAATGCTAGCCTCAATTACATAGTGTGTTTAAGGTCAGCCTCTGTTACATGAGACCCTTCCTTTAAAAAAAAGGTAACAAAAATATCCTTCTGGTACTGGAAATGTGGTAGAGACTGTACTTAATATACAAGTGATCTCAAGTTCAAGACACAACATAAAAGAATATTACCATATAAAGGATCTAATTTCTTATAGACTCAAGAAACAATTCTGACCAAGACTTCCAGCCTCCTCCTGACTGCCTGTTGTCTCCTGCCGTGTTCTGTAGCTCCAACTTCACCAGATCTCAGAATGGACCCCAACTGCTCCTGCTCCACCGGCAGCTCCTGCACCTGCTCCAGCTCCTGTGTCTGTAAGAACTGCAAATGCACCTCCTGCAAGAAGAGCTACTGCTCCTGCTGCCCTGTGGGCTGCTCCAAGTATGTCCAGGGCTGTGTGTGCAAGGGCCAGTCAGACAAGTGCACATGCTGTGCCTGATGTTAGGACACGGCTGCTCCCACGTGTAAATAGTAGTGCTGGATCACCCCAGAGCTTTTCATACGGCTTCATCATGTTTACCAACCTTCCTTTTCTACGAATTGTGTGAACAATAAAAGCCCATTTGGTTCTAAAAAGAAAAAAAAAGAAAGAAAGAAGGAAGGAAGGAAGGAGAGAGAGAGAAAGAAAGAAAGAAAGAAAGAAAGAAAGAAAGAAAGAAAGAAAGAAAGAAAGAAAGAAAGAAAGAAAGAAAGAAAGAAACAATTCTGATTACCTTCCTTCAAATGGGACAAGATGGTACTAACTGTAGGCTGGTGTGTAAGAGGTTCTGACCCTGAAACTTCTGCAACTGCTCCAACAAGAGATGCCTATTTGTGTATCTGCCTGTGAGTAGTCTATCACTCAAGAGTTGTTCACAGTTCACAGTTCTTTCCACAGCCCAATGACTGTGGCAACGTATTGAGCCCTGAGTATGTGGAAGGGAACCTTCTATGAGATTTCCATGCTTTTTTTTATATAATTCTTATGACAACTATATAAGCATTATTAATGTACTTAATAGAAAAAGAAACTGAGGTAATTTTGCCTAAATCTTAAAGACGTAATTACCATCTCTACATAGCTAACATTTCAAAGAGAAAAGAAGACTCCGTTATAATTATCAACTTCTGCCCATTTTTACTTCAAAGTGTATTTCCTTTCTACTTAACCTTGCCTTCATAGATATTTTTATTACTATTCAGCCTAGTTTTCTTCATTCTTGAAGTCCAGCCAGATTTCAAAACAGACTTTGTTCTCCCAGTTCTCCCAGTTTTTACATTGAATACCACTCTGCTGGATTCCAGCACAGCCCTCATGCCCTCTCCCTCTGTTTGTATCGCAGGCCTTAACTTCTCCTCCAGGGCCTAAGGTTCCTATCTATATTTTCCCATTTTTTCTCTATTTGCTTTTTTTTTTCTTTCTCATTGTTTTTAGAGAGCCAGATCCTATATAATTAGTCCATCCAGACCACTCACCTGGCGCCACCAGATCAACACAGATTGCCTCACACACTGGAATTCTAACTTCCCAAGAGCTCAGTATCACAAGTCACAGAGAAGAGAGGAATACATAAGCAACAGATTTTTGTTATCTCTTTTCTGGTGGCTGTTAAAATAAAGAATAAATATGACATCAATAAGGGTAACTATCAAATGCCTCCATGGTGTTTCAAAGTAGAATTCAATTTGAAAAGACTACAACATGGCAATAGTTGTTCTGCTGTTGTCAACCAGTATCAACTATACAGTATTAATAGAGAAAAATACAGAAAGTCACAAAGCTCTTTCCCAGAAAACCAACTGCCCTCACGCTCTCTATTGCTAACAGTCATGCACCTCAGTATCAAATTATTCCATTGTTCACCCAGCCTATAATCAATGGTTGCACGGACAGAAGAGATATTAGATTACCATTGTGGCAATTTATCATCTTAAGGTTTTCATAGCTAGCGCGCTACATCTGTCTCATCATTTCTTTACATTTGGTCTTCTTAACCTCTAGCTGTGTACCTTAAACACATATTAACACCATCATAGAAAATACAGTTAGGGCAACCCTACACACTGCAGCAGTTCCTACACAGCCCTCTATATATTGTGAGTTGCAAACAGCCCTGGGAAAAGAACAGTAAAAACACTATTCCAAAATGTCAATATATTTTAAAGCTCTAATTTTCAAATTAAAATAGATCAAAATTCATAGGTCACAGGGACACAATCTAGGAATAAACTATTTTATAGTGGACTTAATTCTTGCCAAAATTATATTAATTTTATGTTAGCATTAATAACATCAGTTATATATCACTTTTTCTTACACATGATAGCACATGCCTGTAATCCCAGTACTCATGAGGCTGAGGCAAAAAGATCACCCACAAGTCTGAAGCTAACCATAACCTGAGTATTAGGCCAGCATAGGCTACAAAGACCTTGCCTCAAAATTGTGGGCATGTGTATGTGTGTGTATACATAGGTGTTCATGCTGGGAATTGAACTCCAGGTCCCATACATACTAGCCACATATTCTAAAGCTAAACTACACCCCTAGCTCTTAATTTGACATTTGAAATAATCATTGTCTTCCAAAGTTGTCAAATTACTCTGCAGCCACCAACCAACATCAGTAATTTTCCTGAGCTATAAATAAAACAGTTTTAAAATGTCCTTACTATACCATGTGTATAACAGTGTTTTGTTTTGTTTTTTGTTTTGTTTTTTGAGACAGGATTTCTCTGTGTAGCCCTGGCTGTCCTAGAACTCACTCTGTAGATCAGCCTGGCTTTGAACTCAGACATCTGCCTGCCTCTGCCTCCGAGTGCTGGGACTGAAGGTGTGCGCTGCCACTACCTAACCATAACAATGTTTTAACAATAATTAATTTAGTTATATCTTAAACTCAAACCAATTACATAGTTTAATATTATTTTTTTATAATATATCTAACTGTGCCCTATACTTGGGGGCGGGAGAAAACAAACTATCCACTGTTTCCTAATGATAGTTGGCCTTTGGTCATTTCCATCCATTCAGCCTCTCTTCTTAATTCTACTCTGTCATCCCAAAGTATGTTGTTGCCCTTGCAAAGCTCTTAACTTGAGGCTTTTCACTTTCCTTTCCTCATCCTGCCATATAAGTTAAGATCAGACTAGTATTTTTATATTTTCCCTCACTGAATCCCCAAAGTCTTATTTTACCATTTTAGCTCATAGCCTCTGTTTCTTTGATGTTCATACTACGCAATTACAGCACTCTCTAAGTGTTAAATGACCTCCAGAACTTCCCCTATATTCACTGCTGACTTTGGGACCAATTGCTTTCCTTCCATCTTCTAGTTCCTAAAAATTTTCATTATCCCCCTTGATGATCTAACATCTAAATTTTACAACTCCTAGGCATAGCAGTGTCTAATGTATTCATGATCATTCTGTTCTTGATTATTGATTATTGATTTCTGTAGTAACAGATAGTGCATTCTCAGAACTTCTTTTCTGCCTACCTCTCCTATACCTTACATCCCCTAAATTTAACTTCCTCAGGGCTTAATTCACTAACCCTTTTGTCTCCCCTCCCCCAACTAGGGCTGGGATTACAGGCATGCACCTAGTTCCCCTCTTACCTAGTCTCTGTAAGCCTGGGCTGACCTTAAACATGGATCTTCCTGTCTCAGCCTCCCAAGCAGTTGCCATTACAGGTCTGCAGTACTGGGCCAACAGCAACTAACTTATTCTACAGTTAGACCTCATTTCTTCTTTTACCTAGTAAAGACTCCATAGGCAGTGGGACTTTAGTCTCTTTCCCACCATACCATGTCAACCCCCATCCAAAAGTATTATCCTTTGCTACAAACTACAAAGTACTGATAAGTGAAATCTTCTACTTGTAGCTACCAGTTTTCCCTCCATACAATCCATCCTTCATTGCTATCAAAATGATCTTTTTCTGGGACTGATGAGATGGATCAGTACAAAGGTGTTTGCCAGAAAACCTGATGACACAGGTATAATACTCAGGACTCACATGGTGGGGAAAAAATGAAAGTAATCTTCCTGAAAGTAATCTTCCAACCACCACACACAGGCCATAGCATGCGCGCGCGCGCGCGCGCGCACACACACACACACACACACACACACTAAACATAAATCTAAATTTTTTTAAATTATCTTTTTTTAAAAACTGATAAAATTATGTATTTATGGTATACAATATGATGTTTTGAAATATCATGGAATGTAGACTGGATAAATCAAGCTAATTACCATGGCATTATCTCACATATTTATCATTTTTTCAGTAAGAACACTTAAGAACTCTCTTTCAAAACATAGATTAGGCAGGAATCCTGGAACTGTGAAAATCCTGTTCCTGAAAAATGATAAAGCTATACAAATTTGTGGGAAAACAATTCTTTTAAGACCTAAAAACATATCAATATTAAATTAATAAATGTTTTAGAGGATCTATGAATCCTTATGTTTTAAAAAGGTGAGACTATAGTGTTTTTAGCCAAAGACAGTTCCCATCTCCTTCTCCAGGTCCCTGAAGAAAACTGTACAAGAACAAGGCAGGGCAAGCCATCTCAAAACCCAGAAACTTGGTTGCAGAGGGGAATTACATGACCAGGATAATCACAAACTGTCCCATTCCCAGGGGAATTAAAAAAAACAGCAAACTCAGTGTCCTATAATAAGAAAAAGCAAACATCACAATTACCTGCAGTCACAATACTGGTTGAAATAAGCAAAAGAAGAGCCTGACCAAAGTCTGACACAGGAATCCAGAAAACAAACCAACTAACTTGTAAGACTCCTCGATTCCCTGGTGATCTGGAAAGCTGTGTGCATAATGCCAGGCTGTACTCAGCTTGGAACACTAAAAAGAAACCTCATATCTGCATTTTCCTGACAGAATAAGAGTTGCCCAGACACAGAGGAGACATAACAAAAAGAGACTTTGAGTATGTTCTCAATCCATGTACTATCTCATCAAAAAACAATGGAAGACACCTTGGCCCAAGGTATTCAAGAACAACTTCTAACCAATCATTGGCTATCCTGACATAAATTAGGTTTAGAAGTGAAACTAGGTTTAGAAGTAAAAAATAACTGGGGCTGGAAAGATATGGCTTAGCAGTTAAGAGCATTGGCTGCTCTTCCAGAGGACCTAGGTTCAATTCTCAGCACCCACATGGCAGCTCAAAATTGTCTGTAACTCCAGTTCTAGGAAATCCAACACCCTTGAACAGACACACATGCAGGCAAAACATCAATGTATGTAAAAAAAACTAAAATAAATTAATAATTTATATCTTTAAAAATATTAAATGAAACAGAGGGTGTATGGGTGGAACTCAGAGGTAGAATACATGTTTAGCATATATGTGGCTTTGGGTTCAGTCTCAACTAAAAAATAAATGCCCAAACTGGGGCTGGGCAGTGGTGGCTCATGCTTGTAATCCTAGCACTCAGGAGGCAAAGGCAAGCAGATCTCTGTGAATTTGAAGCCAGCCTGT